CGTTTTGATTATGATTCAACGAAGATTATTGGCAAACAAAATAATATCAAAAAACGGTTATTAGATGAAATGATATGCATAAAAAAAGAAAAACACTCGGTAAATAAAAGATCGGATATTGAAACCCTCAGTAGATCATATTTTAACCTTATAGAGGAGATAAAAAGGTAATGTTTGTAAACTTTTTGTTTGGTTTTTGTTCACCCTTGGTCTCGTACGACAAAATAACTCTAATTTGATTTATATTTTAATACATGATCTTGATGTATGTGTACGCTATTCTCTACCTATATCTATACTGTCCAAGATTGTTATATGACATACTATGTATAACGAGACTAGGAAAACACAGTGAAACACTTAAATCTGTAATGTGAGTAACATATAAACAATATACGTAGATTTAATTTTAATTTAAAATTTTCTTTTTCGCATGTTATGTACAGGTTGTTGGTTGTTGCGTTTCTTGTTCATTCACCATATTTTGTTATTTTATTATTTATTATATAAAAACATTTTGTTTGTGTAATTTTAATACTTTTCTTTTTAAATTTGTGACATATCAAAATTGTTAGTGTGTCTGTATTTGTAATTTTTTTTCATGTTTATATAGATATTACTGTATTCATTTTATTGTAATGTTTTAGACACACTCTTTTAATTTTTTAATATTTTAATGTTAAGTTTGTTATTTATAAATTGTGATGTAATTTTGAAATTATTAAATTTTATAGTATCCTGAGGATGTCACGATAAGTGACGAAACGTCGACAATTGAGAAAATTTGCTGTTTTTCTCTGAAATTTGCCCTCTAATCTTCCCACTATTGACAACAAACTGAATAAAAATAAGGCTACCAATATCATTAGTTAGAATGTATTGTTAGTATGTCTTGGATTAAATGTTCTTATGAATGGAATGGTCAACTAATTTGAACCATCCTCAACACACCTCAACACACCTTCAATATTTAAACAAATTACTTATAATTATATACTGTCGTAAGTGTAGGCGACAAAAAGCAGACCGGCCATCATATTTTTTGACGAGTTGGATGGATTGGCTCCCATAAGATCAGACAAGAACGACCACATACATTCGAGCGTTGTAGCTACCTTACTCGCCCTCATGGATGGTTTGGACAACAAGCCTGGGGTTATAGTAATCGGGGCTACAAACAGGATAGAAGCAATCGATCCAGCTCTACGGAGACCCGGTAGATTCGACAAGGAACTATACTTTCCCTTGCCAGGAGTTGAAGCAAGAAAAGAAATCATACAGGTAAGTCTTTCATCAAATAACTCGGATCTAAACGTGGAGAATATTTTAGGTAAAATGACGTGCCTCTTAAAATAAATAGGTACTGAGTTAGCTGGTATGGTATGGATGGTTATCACTAGGTGGTGAAAATAACAAAAGGAAATTTGTTGACAATTATTTTATTAGCTTGAAATATTCAGTTTTAATATCCATCCTATTCTTTTTACATTTTTAATATGATTTCCATGAGAAGCTTTACATGGTTGTAAACAATTAACAAAATCCAGCTTTACCCGCTGCAATTCATCGCTTATAAGAGTTCCTTAAGTAGCCTATTCATATATACTGACTTTCTGTATTTGCAGTAACACCATCATGTTAGAACAGTATGTTGTGCTTCTTGCAAATCTGCATACCGATCGGAGTTAACTGTTGCAATTTGATTATTTTGCTCAAAAAAAATAAAGACCAATAATGGTTAGGTATAGGTTATTTGTAAATAGATTCTCTTCCTGCTAGAAGAACCTATAGAGACTATCTTCTAACAGACCAGTAACACCACACATGTTTCCTCTACAACGTTCATCAGTCACCAAACATCATTTTATCCTTATCGACCATCGACTATTGGTTTACTTTTGTCCTGGAATTTCTTGTCACCATTTTTAGATCGAATTTCATTTTGAGAATAAAAATGACCAAACACAACACAGTGGTATTATGATAGTTATCTTTTCAGGTGCATACAAACACTTGGAAACACAAACCGACGCCAAAATTTTTAATTAATCTTTCTGATTTAACGGCTGGATTCTGTGGATCAGATCTTCAAGCTCTATGTTCTGAAGCAGTTTTGTGTTGTATGAGAAGAATTTATCCGCATATCGAGACTAAGGGGTACAAAATAAAAATTGATGCTAACACCTTAAAAGTAAGCAAAATAATATCTTTATTAAAAACTCTTTATAACTATAGATGTAGGAGTTCTACATTCTTCAATTTTATTGTTATTTCCTGTCAAACTATAAAAACGAAGACTCCAGCGTTTTCAGCTGGTTCAAATATAAATATCTTGATGAACTTATTTAGATTATGTAATGGATAGCTTGTGAAAACGTTTAGTAAAAAAAATTATATAGGAATAATCTGAACAAAATTTTGACCATTCAATCAGAAGGACATATGTGATTTACTCCTTTTTCAAGTACATACTAAGTTGAGTGTCCCCAGAATATTTATAAGTATAGCGTAGGAGTTCCTTTTACAATATTTCTGAGAATTTCCTGCTAAACTATAAAACGTAGAAGAACCATGGGCGTAGATAGGAGACCTCTAATAAAAAATTTCCAAGTTTGGGGAGGACTTCGCTAATACAATGCGAAACATTGCCGTAATGTTAAAAATGTTGTCACCGCTGTTCTTGGTAGTGAAAATATTCGGAATTATTTAATTTTCGTGGCTGAAAACATATTTTCGAAACCGAGAGAGTTGCACTAACCAAATTTGGATAGGATAAAGGTAATACAATGCGAAACATCGCCTTAATGTTAAAAATGTTGTCACCGCCGTTCTTGGTGGTGAAAATTCGAAATATTTGGAATTATTCAATTTTCGTGGCTGAAAATACGTAGGTATTGTATTTTTGAATCACTAACCAAATTCGGACAGGACATAGCTAATACAATGCGAAACATCGTCTTAATAAAAAAAATCACGCAATCAACGACTTATCGATATAATATTTCAAAACCTAAGCGCAGTCAGCGACTTACTGATATGAGAAAGATGATATTGGGCACCCCTGTCCCCCCTAGCTACGCCCATGAGAAGAACACTGAGAAACTTTCGAGATATTAGCTTGTTAGTGATGTTTTTCAACTACCATACCTCCAGTATTTTCATTGAGCCCAAATTCATGTATAAACGTTCCTGTTAAGATTTTGGGCCCTTTCATATTTTAAGCAGTTTTCTATAAAACCGAAAACCGATTTTCCTAAGAGGAAACGGAAGCCGACTTACATCTCGAACATGATTTATAATTTACTAATTCTTTGTATTAATTTTTTTTAATGATCACTGAGTCAGGACAAGTTTTTTTTAACTTAAGATTATATTATTGACGGAATGTTTCCTATTTCTCAAATTTTGAACGATTAGGCTGCCTATTACAGGGCATGTGGCCAAAAATATGTGATCGTCATAAGGAATACCTACGTTGTGTGTATCTATTTTTTTAATTGACCGGAAGGCGCTGGCTACTAACTTTGTGGAGGGGATGTATGGTTTAATTATACAAAACAAAAGCAGAGTAAATACACCTAACTTTATTATCTACATACAACAGTCTTCAAATTAAACATGTGACAAATATAAAGAACAACAAAAACATTAACAACCATTTAACATAGAATAAGAGTGCCAGGCTCACCTAGAGCTCCTGTGGGGAAAGAGCATGGCAGAGAAACCCACGATCGTTGCTCTTACCACCCAAATATAAATACAAAACAACCACTAACCAAAGGCATAAATTAAGATCCTTTGCTAATGATAAATAAGTCCTGTCTCATTTAATGTGTCACTAAATGTCATCTGTTACCTCATATTAGTCATACACACTTCCAAGTAAAACTGAAGAGGTTTGGTGTTAGTTAGCCGGCAGAGCCGGAAGGTACTGGAGTCCCATACGGGAGGCAATCCAGCTATAGTTGAGATTTCGGAAGATCCTTCATAACACTGGAGTCCCATACGGGAGGCAATCGAGCTTAATCCAGATTCGTTCCGCACGGGCGAAAATGTTAGTAAACTCAACAAGGCTCGTATAGACGTATGACATAAAGTGAGCACAAGAAATCAAAGAATGTGAAACAAAGAAGTTGCTATTGCTATATCTGGGCAGTCACGACAATATACATATTTTAACATGTAATAAATAATGAGCAATCTTTAATAATAATTGTGACAATTTTATATTAGGAAAATACACGCCCCTGAGCGTAAGACAATGAAGGCTAAACATATACAGAATTATTATCATGAAACATCTAGGTTTTTCGAACAACGTAATCATAACAAAAACCAGTTAGATGTGAAACAAAGAAGTCGTTATTGTAATGTCTGGGCGCCCACACAATATATATTATATTTTAACATGAAATAAATAATGAGCAATCGTTAATAATAATTATAACAATTTTACCTTAGAAAAAATATATGCCCTTGAGCATAAAGCAATGGAAGCTAAACATATAAAGAATTATTATCATGAAACATCTATAAACATCACAATCATAAAATTATATAGAACAATTAATAACAAAGTACTTAAAGAATATTACCTGCTAACTAATACCGGTTAAACACTTAATTTTCCACTAATTCTATATTTTTCACACTACACTGATCGTCTTGCTAACTATCTGCACACTGTTCTCACTTCAACTGCCTATCTTCAACTACCTATCTCCAACTATTATGGCTTCCTTCCAGAATTTCCTTCCTAAGTGCCCGCTGTTTGCGCTTCCTTCTATCGACCGTTAATATTACTTTTTCATTATTATACAACACCTATGTAACGGGTGACGTGGAAGTTGATAAGAAAAGTACGGTTTTGCACAATACACCAGTATTTTTAATTTTGTGAGAATTTTTCTTAATATTCGTTGAATACCTTACAAAAGATGTCTATTTTTTTATTTAAAGTTTAGTTCTGTAAAATAATAATGGAACAGCATTATCCCCAGAGCTCGGTTTGAAATGGAAAAGTGTTAAAAGATATCATATATCAAGTAGTGAACGAAGATTACTAAAAAATCAACAAAAACTAAAATAAGTTGTGGCGCATAATTATTTTTTAATATAATTATCTACACGCCCCTGGTTGTTAGATATACAGTGTGTTTCACTTAAAGTTGGAAGACGTCCGTATTTAGGATGGCGTTGGCCGATTTCCAAAATTTTTTTTTGTTATGTGATTTTATGTGATAGTAGGTACTCAAAAAGGCCTACTTTTTGATATTATATTTTTTGACATGTGATATTTTCTACGGCCTATTATCATTAATAAAAGACCCTCAAAAATTAAAAAACATATTAGACATTTTTTTAAGAATGAAATGGATAGCATTTTCGATTTGATGACACCTCAAAACCCTAAATACAAAGTTTCATTATTATAGCTTTCACAAGGTGTTCACAAAATAGGTGCAAACTTCGAAAAATTTCACTCAGAGCGTCTTGTATTAACAGTGGAAAATATTTTCAAGATATTTTTCCATAATTTTATTAACCGTAGGTATATCCATGCAGTTTCATTGATTTCACTCATACAGGATGCTCACAATATGATAGCCAAATTATATATATATTTTTTTATTCTACCAGAAATTAATTTCACATCGAAATAATATTTAACCTACTATTCAATTCGTCTTCTCTTATTTCTAATAACGTTCCTCAACTGATGTGGTGTTATTTGTCGACAAGCTTATCTAATTCTATTACCTACATAAATCTTAATTAAAAAAATTAATGTGTTTTGTGGGATTTTATGTGATCGAATAATCGAGTCCGTATTTCTTAACGTTAATCTAAATGCAGAGATTTCTTTGAATTTTTTAAATAATGATTTCTGGGATTTCCTTATATAAAACAGAACCTCTACCTTCAACTAGATGGAGCACCTACTCATGATGCGGTAATAGTAAGTCATTGGTTGAATGAGAATTTCCCGAGAAAATGGATAGTTGAGTGGCCATCAAGACCTCCAGACTTGACGCTTCTTGATTTCCTTTTATGGGGAACTTTGAAAAACAAAGTGTATTAAACAAGACCCCAGCAGATTTATGTAATAGAATTAGACAAGCATGTCGACAAATAACACCACATCAGTTGAGGAAAGTTATTAGAAATAAGAGAAGACGAATTGAACAGTAGGTTAAATATTATTTCGATGTGAAATTAATTTCTGGTAGAATAAAAAAATATATATATAATTTGGCTATCATATTGTGAGCATCCTGTATGAGTGAAATCAATGAAACTGCATGGATATACCTACCGTTAATAAAATTATGGAAAAATATTTTGAAAATATTAGAGTTATTAGAAATAAGAGGAGACGAATTGAACAGTGAACTAATAGAAAAGTAATATTTAAATTTTATTTTGTTGTGAAATTTATTTCTGGTATAATAAAGAAACTATACAGGCTGTTACAAATTCGCTTCTCACTACAAGGATCTCGAAAACGGTGAGAGATACAAACTAGCTTAAATGTGGGTAAAGTTGCGTAATCAGGGGACCAACATTATGCCTTAAAAAAATCAAGGCTAACATGATTAGTTTTCGAAAAATACCGTTTCCGAGATCTCTAAAATGAGAAGCGAATTTGTAACAGCCTGTATAATATGACTGTCTTATTATGAGCACCCTGTATCAATGAAACTGCACGGAAAAATTAATTAAAATTAAGAAAAAATACCTTAAAAGTATTTTCCACTGTCCACTGTTAATAAAGGACACTGCTATGAGTGAAACTTTTCGAAGTTTGCACCTATTTGGAACACCCTGTAAAAGCTATAATAATGAAACTTTGTATTTAGGGTTTTGAATGTGATCAAATCGAAAATGCTATCTATTTCTCTCTTAAAAAATGCGTAATACGTTTTTTAATTTTTGAGGGTGTTTTCTTAATAGGTAGGCGGTAGAAATTATCACGTCACAAATTATAATATCAAAAAGTAGGCCTATTTGAGTACTATCACATAAAAAAAAATTTTTGGAAATCGGCCAGCGCCATCCTAAATTTGGAGATGTTCCGACTTTAAGTGAAACACACTGTATATTAATATAAACTATATTTCTTAAAATGACTTGTAGAGTATCCCTCTAAAATATTTATTAGATACTTTAGAAAAAGCCCTGTATATTTCT